ATACAGCTTGTTCAGACTTATACAGTGTGTAGATGCGAGATTCTGATCTTATAAAAACTGTAGATGTTGGAAATTGGATTCTAAGATTTATGGGCTAGGTTGAATTAAGAACTACAATTATGTTGTGTTGTCGGGCCTATATGGGATAGAGTGACGTGATATCACCCCCGGGTATGTGCATGGTAAGGTTATACGGCGGTTTGATGGCTTTGAGAACAATTCTAGACACGTTCGAGGACGAACGTATGTTTAAGTGGGGGAGGATGTAACGACCCGACCGGTCGTTTTAAGAATTTGCACTTCGCTCGGTAATTTATGGGCGTGAGTAGCTCCGTACGATGTAATGTGACTTATGTGAATCGTCGGTTTTGATTTTCAGGTTATTCAGAATTGATTTGTACTACCAGTTCTTGGGGAATGTATCAGATTCAGATAATTTCTTTACTTAGTTGCTTTATTAATTGTCATTGGAATTGGTTAGTGGTTAACTGGCTTATCTAGCGGGTTGGGTTATGTGCCATCACGACTATTTGGATTTTGGATCGTGACAATACCCCAAAAGAACCATACATCAAAGAAATGAAAGCCATCGACAAACCCAAAATTTTCTCAAATTTGTCCTTGTCTTTCATCTCTGCTTCCAAAAGGTAAAATTATTCCAACACCTTTAAAAGCATAAACAGATACATCAAGATCACTGAACCCACCAAATACTTGAAGAACAACATCAACAAATATACTCAAGGGGTTAAGTGAGTAATTGTGGGAATTGAATTCGACCCCAACTGAAATGGGAAACAACTCCAAATATCCCAATTTTTTCTGGATGAATGACAAAGAATGATGAACGTATAATTTAATCAGCTTAAACAATTTATATGCAGCAGCTATTCCGAAAATCAAGAAAACAAGAAACTAAAACTCACCTTATAACTGTACAATCAAGGCGAATAAACTGTCCAGGAAGAGAGAAGACTAAAAGAAACAAGTGAAATTGGAAGAGGAGGTGAGTAGCGCTGGAAATTTTAGTGTAGAGACTGTGCAAATCGGGTGGAAACAGAAGCAACGTGTCAAAGCTAAAGTAGGATTAACACGTGACTTATGTCAAAATATTTGTAGTTTTCCCAAAATACCGCGGACGACCCCAAGCTCCTCAAACTGTCGCTTATTAATAAGAGGAAAATATAATCCAAATATCAACTCCCCTTTGTACGTCATTGCCATGGTTGTACTCTTAATAAACACCTCCAACTGGAAATATGATTCGAACATCCAGCTAATCAAATGTTGTGGATAAACTATTAAGTACAAATTTTACGGGGCGCCCTATTTGTTCGTCCTTATTTAATCTGTAATCACTTTTTAAATTTTTTTTAATTAGTATCCAAAGTATAGACAACTTCAGGCCTACTCCAAGGTGACGGTAAACTTATATGGTGTTTGTGTGATGACCCAAAATGTCATCTTTAAATTTAATAATTAATTCTGTATTCTAAGACCTCGAAAAGCACTATTTATCACTCCTCAACTTGCGTGCGCATTCCGTACAATTTTCAGGAAAGTTTTTATGTGAAAAATAGATTAAAATGTGAAATAGAGATTTAAAACTCAACTTAGTTAACTTTGGTCAACATTTTGAGCAAACGGACTTGCATCAGTGTTTTGACAAATCCGGTAGGTACGTATCGTCATTTGGGACTTGGGCGTATGCCCGGAATCGAATTCCGAGGTCCCTAGCCCGAGATATGGAATATTGATAAAAAAAAAATTAAAAGTTTAAAAGCTTAATAATTTTTAAGAATTTACTGATGTTGGATTTATTGACACCGGGTCTGTATTTTGATTTCGGAGCCCGGTATAGGTCCACTATAATATTTATGACTTGTCTGCCGAATTTGGTGAGAATCGGAGTTGATTTGACGTGATTCGAACGTCCGGTTGTAAAAATATAAGTTTTAAAGTTTTTTTTGAAAACTTCCTTTGAGTTGGTGTCCGATTCGTAGTTCTAGGTGTTATTTTGGCGATTTGATCACTTGAGCAAGTTCGTATGATATTTTAGGACTTGTGTGCATGTTAGCTTCGGAGCCCCGAGGGCTCGGGTGAGTTTCGAATAGGCTACGGGTTGAATTTTGGACTTGGAACTCTGCTGGAAAATTTTCTGATGCACTGTCTGGTATCCTTCTTCGCGTTCGCGATAAAGGAATTGCATTCGCGAAGAGGAACTTGAGGCAAGTGAAAATTGCTCTTCGCGTTCGCGAAGATAGGGCCGCGTTCGTGAAGGGAAGAGAGCAGTGTTCATCGCGAACGCGTGGAAGCGTTCGCGTTCGCCTAGAAGGCGAGGCCTGGACGGGCACCAAGAGGTAAAGCTTCGCATTTGCGTAGGGTGTATCGCGTTCGTGAAGGCCAATTTTGACAAAGCTTCGCGTTCGCAAGATTGCCTTCGCATTCGCGAGATTGCCTTCGCGTTCGCGAAGAGCAAAGTTTTGGCAGCACAAAAATGTGCTTCGCGAACGCGAGGCACTGACCGCGTTCGTGAAGGGTAAAAATCCGAGAAACAGAACGTAAGTTCTGGAAAATGGGATTCGTCCCATTCTCAACCCCTTTCCATTTTTGAGCTCGGGTAAGGCAATATTTGGGTGATTTTCACGGAAAATTATTAGGGTAAGTGTTCCTTATCCTATATTGATTATATTTCATGATTCCATACTCATTTACATCATGAATCTGTGAATTTAGGGAAGAAAAATCAGATTTTTATAAAATCTTCCAAAAACGAAAATTTAAGATTTGAATGTCCATTTGATATCGGAATTGGATAATTTTTGTATGGTTGAACTTGTAGCGGAACGGGTGTTCGGATTTCGTGATTTTTTTCGGGATTTGAGACATGGGTCCCATTGTCGAATATTTAAATAAATTTTGAATTTTATCCGAAAAATATAGAATTAATTCCTATGATTCGTATTGAGTATATCGAATTGTTTGTGAATAGATTTGAAGCTTTTGGAGACAAACTTAAAAGGAAAAGCTTTGGTCGAGTAAATGATTGGAATTTGCAAAGCGAGGTAAGTGTCGTGGGTAACCTTGACTTGAGGGAATAGAACCTATAAACTATTTGTTATGTGAAATGCATGTGAACGACGTATAGGCGAGGTGACGAGTGTCTATACGTCGTCAAATTAATTGTTTGCATATTTACTTGAAAAATCATAAATTGTTTTAAATCATGAATTAATTGTTATAATAATTGTTGCTCTCATATTCTTTGTCAAATATTAATTCTTGAATTCCTGCATTAATTGTTACATACTATTTGATTTATGTGTCTTAATTGTTATTTGACATTTAGCATATTAAATATTAAACTGCCTATTTTCTCCCTGATTTCCATAATAAATTGCTATTTGTCATTGTTTGTTTCATAATTAAATCATAATTCTTGTATGCGTGTTGTCTTAAAAATTATGTATTAATTGTTGCATTTATTGGGGCTATTTCTTCTATAAGAATTGGTAAATGGATATATTGGAGGATCGGATTGCACGCCGCAACAGACTTATTTAAAAGTCTATATATACTTGATTAAAATAAATATATGAGAGTATTGAAAATGAATATATTGTGGGAGCGGTTTGCACGCTGCAACGAAAATTGGTTGAAATAATAATGGGTTATGACTGCTGAGTTGGCTTCAATTATTATAAATGAGTTATCTGATTATTTCTATTATTTGTTGTTGTTATTAATATTGCGTACAGGTTAATGTAAGTGAACCGCCTTAGCTTCTTCACTACTTCGTCAAGGTTAGGCTCAGCACTTACTAGTACATGGGGTCGATTGTACTGATACTACACTCTGCACTTCTTGTGCAGATTTCGGAGTTGGTCCTAGCGGCGTACCATAGATTTGCTCAGATTTCAGCTACTCAAAGGAGACTTGAGGTATAACTGCACGGCGTCCACAGTTCTGAAGTCCCTGTCTACTTTACTTTAGCGGTGTGTTTGTTTTCAGACAACTTTATTTTATTCAGACCTTTATTTGTATTATTCTAGAAACTCGTGCACTTGTGACATCAATTTCGGGATGGTATTTAGACACCGTTGTTTTTATGGATTATTCACTACATTTCAGACTTTACTTCCGCGTTTGTTCTTTGTTATTAATAAATTTAAAAATGGTTTTAAAAATAGATAATATTATTCTAACGTTGGCTTGCCTAGCAAGTGAAATGTTAGGCGCCATCACGGTCCGAATGTGGGAATTTTGGGTCGTGACAGTTTGTGAGCATGTTTTAAGGTAATTTATGATGTTTTACAGTGTTGAGCTGCTGTGGCGCTTTATATTTTTACTACTGCTTAAGAGTTTTTTCTTCTTCTTCTTAATTGTAAAATGAGTTTGGTAAATTTATTGTTGTTTTGACAAATTGATTATTAGGGTTTATTCTTAATGATATTTGGAGATTATGTTTTAAATTTTATTTGAGCTCATTTGGAGTAGATTAAAGTGTTAACATGTATTGGATTGTTGAAATTCGAAAAACAAGTTTCTGTTTCTAGCCAATTTGCATTTCAAATCTATTTGGCATTAAATGCATGAAAACATTGGTCGCACTTCGGACCTATTTAGTTTTAAATACATCTGAAATACAATTTTTTCACTTCAGGCCTATTTGACCTTAAGTGCATGAATACATTAGTTGCACTTCAGGCTTATTTGGCCTTAAGTGCATCTAAAGTGCAATTTTTTCACTTCAAACCTATTTAGTCTTATGTGCATGAAAATATTTGTTGCATTTCAAATCTATTTGGCCTTAAGTGCATCTTAAAAGCAATTTTTGCACTTTAGACTTAATTGGCCTTAAGTGCATTGCAACTTCAGACTATAATTTTTCAACTTCAGACCCGATAAGCCTGAAGTTGATTCTAAAATGGATAGGCTTGCAAAATTTTGTGCAAAGTAGGTATAACTTCAATGTACCCCAAACTGGGTATAGATGCAAATGCCCCAACAATAAATTATCATTCAGGGGGAAAAAGAAGCGCACCCAGTATATTTCTCGAAATGCTAGAGACACTCGTTAGTTCAACGAAGACAAGAAAGCAACCAGGGTTTTTCCCCACACAAGATAGACCTACGTGGGGTAAAAATAAGGTTCGAGACACATTATATTGGTCCAACATATATTCACGACCATGATCGATCTTTTAGGCACCTCCTCAGGACTTGTTCTAATTTCACCTAAGCATGACATAGCTTTTACAGACTTCCTGTACTAGAGGTGAAAACAATTACTACATAGAAACAGAGCATTATGAATCACTGGGAGGCGTAGTATCTGCTTCAGATGATCGAACTATTGCTTCAATTGTATCCATGTCAATCGTCATAACATCCTCAACTTCAGCCTCTTCTACCTCAGCCATTACTTCATCTGAATCACCTGCACTGGCTATAGGTTCTGCCCCATTAGACACTGAATTAGATAGAATTGGGGAACCCTTGGTTTCTCTATCTGGTGCTGTTGCATTTTGCATGTTAGAAGATGCATATGGGTCACTGGAGATCGTCAATGTTGATGTAACTAGCAAATTCTGCAGATAGGTAAAGCACTCATTATGCTCCAGAACTGTCATAACAGAGTTACATTACAGGGGGAAAAAGAAGCCTATTCAGCCTCTGGCACTTCTTCAGACACTAAACTTGAGATATTTTAGCCTTTTTTCTTTTCGTATAAGTTCTCGAAAGAAAAGAAGAAAAATTGGCATAAGAGCCTGCTAAAACTCCTTAAATGAAGGACCTCCGATCCAACAGAGATAGAAGTGACGACTAAGCTCAATAAAGCATCTTACACTACTTAGTACTAAGAAGTTTTCTCTAGAAAGTTGCCACTCAAGATTTGGAGGTTAAAAGATGTTGAGATGCCACATCAATGAGATTTAAGATGTAAAACTTTAAAAGCACTATAAGGGCAGAATTCACATCAAAGTCCAACCTTTTCTAGAGCCAACGCAAGCTTTGACAGCCTGGAATAAATGTTCCGTGCATCCAACAAAATCTGCTCAATATTACTCAAAAGATAAGTAACATTGAAAAACCAATATATCAATTGTTTAATTGACAGCAATAGCAGCGACAACATAATACAAAATACAACAACAACAACATACCCAGTATTATCCCACACCGTGGGGTCTAGGGAGGGTAGTGTATACGCAAACCTTACCCCTACCTTGTGAGGATAGAGAGGCATAATACAAAATACACTCAAAAAAAATATGAAGATTGAGCTTGTTCCCACTAAGCTGCTTAAGACGACTCCCATACTGGAAAAAACACATTTTTTTCATGAAATAGAGAACAAAGCTTTAAAATTTAAAAAAGGAAAATCAGATGGAGTGAACTACTAACATATAAAACAATCTGAAATTCATATTTAAAAAGAATAATGTCACACCTCACATAGTCTTTGCAACGTAAATGGAGGGCCTTCAGCAAAGCTGTTGAGAGCTGCAAAATCAAGGTAACAGGGTGATGTCGGAAAGATCAAAATCAGAGTAATGAACCACGAAAACAAGAGCTTATCTCAACTGCAACAGCCGAGCATCAAAGAAGTCAAAACTAAAAGTCAAATGTGAACATGGTATTATGTTGAAAGCTTGGTTACAAAGCCAGCCTGGAGAAAACACCATTGAAGCACCACACTTGTGGGTCTTTAACTTCCGACTAATAACATTTTTTTGACAGGTAAATTTAGTAATATATGAAGAATTACTTTTCACGCGATTGAGGCATCACATTTTTTAAGTTAATAATAATTTCAGGTGAGTGGTTTCTAGTCCAATGGGTTGCACCAGACGACCTTAATAACCATAATCGAGAGATAAGTAGACGAGTGAAAACTCTTGAACTTATGAAATTGAAGCAGATGCATGAGAGTTGCTAGCAGAGAAGAGAGTAACAACACGAATATGAAAACTGTTCTTTGTTTATGTTCTTCACGTGACAAACCATAACCCGCTCCTGGAATGCAGAAAAGGGGGGGCAAAGATACTTCTAACAGTAAGATCACCATTAAGAAAATATGGAAAATATTCTTTTAGATGTAACTATATCATCATAATACATGGTGGTTCATGAAGCAGGCACACAATCCAAAATATAGTTTACGAGGTAAGCTTTTCTCAGGAACTTTTTAAGTAAAGCGGTAAGCTTTTAGCCTTTTTCAAGAATTTCAGATGCTACATGCTAAGAGATTAAAAAAATATTTGACCATCACTACACATGAAGTACCAATATGCAAATAGACTTGTTTGACCATTTCACATCAACCTACCCAGAAGAGGATTATTTTGCCCCTCTTACTCAACTTCTACCTTTTTTTCTCAATTCAGCCTATCTTTTTGACGAGCCGAGGGTCTATCAGAAACACCTCTCTACCCCCACAAGGTAGGGGTAAGGTCTGCGTATACACTACCCTCCCCTGACCCCACATGTGGGATTACACCGGGTATGTTGTTGTTGTAACCTATCTTTTTGACATCACATTCCCTCCCTATTGCCAAAGAGCACATCTTAAAGCATCTATACCCAACATGCTATCAAGAAGCGAGTCCCAAGCTAAACACTTAATACAATCAAATATGCAAACATAGGTTATACAGCTGCCCAACACAAACAGAACAATCAAGTTCTTTTGAGAACAGAACAATCAATTTTAGAAGAGCCTTACACTTCTACGGCATGTGAATTTTCTTTTTGCTTCAAGTAATGACACAAAAAAGGACAATATAGGAATGCATTGTAGGATATCATCATGAAATATTATGAGTCATCTTATAGAATTGTTACAATCAAACCATGCTAACTGCCCCTTATGTCAAAGGAGAACAACAGAGATAGGCAAGGCAAATGACAGCGGAAATACCATCATCCAACCTTTTCACCAACTCCGGAAAGCTCTCTCCTAAACAAGATTGTTGCTGTTCGGTAGTCATTTTTGCCTCTGGATAGTCTGACAGGACCTTCAATAAAGAATTCAAGTGTGTTCGAAAGTTAATACACGTTAACAGAAATATCAACCAGCATAAACAGGAAACATCACTTTTAAGAAGCTGCCATATGCTGACAACTTGGCATACCTCCCCATACCTGCTTAAGATGGAATGACAGCATGCCCTTGAGTTTGTCCCAGTCATGCCTGAGCCAAAACACAAACAAGATAAATTAGATATGGAACTTCCCAAACTATAATGTAATAGACAAGAATACAACAAAGACAACTCTTTTTCTTATACTTTATCTCCTTTGGATCAGAAGACAACTCTTTCTTCTTTCTTCAATGTGATGATTGGGTATGACTTGGGTTAGATTACTATATCTACTTCACTAGCTAAAAGAAGAAAAGACAGTTTCACATGGAATAGCTCTTCGCAAATGCTTCAATAAGTTTTAAATTTATAGATAATGAAATAAAACCCTAAATTGGATCTATATCTTAAGCTTTTCCTCTGATCTATGGTAGTTGATTGTAAGCTAGGTTGAGAAAAGAAACCCATAAGATGCTCCTTGCAAAGGAGAGATGGGAAGAACAAAAAAAATCTGTAATAAGCTAGACGAAGATTGTCATTAAGTGGGGCAAAATAAGTTGATCGAAGTGACGAATGAACAGAAAAATTAATAACACTACTTGGATGGTGAACTGCACATGATACATGGGGTGGTCAAGGGAACTCGTCATGCCCATGGCCGCTTCCTGACAACATGTTCCATTTGGTTACAATTTGAGCTTAAAGAAATTATTATTTGGACTCCACCAGTACATCAAATAGAATATACTACTAAACAAAGGTTGCAATCCAAGATATACATAATATTAGTGCACAGAGGCGGACCCAGGATTTGAAGATGATGGCTGCACCACTATCTTCAATATAGACGGAGGCGAGGACTTCATCGGTAGTTGTTGGGTCTCGCCGGATGCCGGCGAACTTCCGGTGATGACTTACACACCAATTGAATATATACAAAAAAAATTCCGAGGTTTATTGGGTCCGGTGACCCCCTACCATACACGTAGGTCCACCTCTGTTGGGGCAGAAACAAGATAAAAGAGAACAAAAAGAGACATGGTATCTTGTTTACTATTAACTGAGGGCTTACGCTAATAATGTTATTAAGGCTGCTAATTGAGCTCTATGATGGAGCATACAATAGCTTATAAATATGAGAACATTACCATGCCAAGCTGTACTAGGGCCAATTTTCGGATGTTATGATATACTTTGAAGGTTCTGCACCTCTCAAGCACAAAGAAAAAAGAAAAATAAAAGCACCCCGCTAAAGTTTTTCACAAAACTAGCGAAAGCGTTCTTCAAACTCACGTGAGAAGAATGTAAGATGAAAAAAACCTTACCCACTCGTTCCTCAATCCCGCAAGATTGCAAGAAGCGTTGAATAAAGGAAGAAGAATGAACTAAAAGATAAATCACACGTTTTTGAAGCAAGAGCTTAGAAAAACTAATCACTAATGTTTATTTTCAGCATAGAAAGCCCTTTAAATAGGCCTTACAATGAGCAAAATTGATGAGGCTAAGGAAAACTAATCCTAATTAAACTAGAAGAAGAATAAGGTCAAGAAAAACCTATTCCAATTAAAATAAAATAAAAAAATTCTGGTAGGAACGGAATACCAACTAACAATCCTATTTGACTAGAACTACAAATATAATCCTACTAAAACAAGAATTAAAAAATCCTAATCTTTAAGGAAAAGAAATCCTAATCTTAATTGAATTCTTGGACTTCTTCAATTTCTTTAGATTCTTGGGCCTCAATTGGACTAAGGCTAATTAGTGTAAGCATTTTAAATTCGTGGCCCAATTCTCCAAATCCATTGGCACCTTCGTGAGCCCAATAAACCTCCATTGCTGTAGAAAACATGGTCTCCACCTGTGCTTCTCCAGCATCATGATTTGAGCTTGTATGTTCATCATGTTTGCTAGCCTAATTGACTTGTTATGTTAGTACCTAATGTTTGAAGCAGATAGCCTGCTCATACAGTCATACTTACAGCTTAGATTAAGCTCAAGCACATCCAAGTTATAACACTAGTTTGGTTTAGACCAAACTCAAGAATTTAACTAGTCTTTGAAGTTCAACACTCAGCTTAATAGCTTTCAACCAACTTGGACAACGTATAATAACTTCATATAACTAGCCAAAAATAATCTAAATAACCAGGTATATATTGCAGTATAGTTTTTTAGCCCCGGGTAAAAGAATTTTGAGTTCCTAAGTAAGTTTATGTTCCAACTTTATTGAGTTCCTAAACAAGAAAAGGCAAAGTTACAAGAGTACAAGATAATGTCAAGGCATGAAAAACTTGAATGAAAAAGTAAAGGAATATCAAAACTCATATATGAAATGCAAATATCAATATGGTAGCAGTTATATTAATATATTCTTTCATCAGATTCATCTCTAAGAAATTCTAGCTAAAAATGCACTGAGCTTGCTTGGGCTCACAGATTCATATAAAACCAAGCATATGGAGCTTGGCTTAGCTCAAACTAATTAGAAGTAGCCATAATTTTAGCAGGGCAATGAAAACAATGTTTTGGCTGCAGCTCAACTGACTGTATTTTGCCTTTAGCCCATTAAACACCCATTTAGGATGCAACTCACTGACAGTCCTAAATCCTAATCGTCTTCTTCCATTAAGAGTTACCATAAGCAAAGTGATAGATGACTATCTCAGATTGCAAATTAGAACTAGCCGACTACGACGAAAAAACATTCTACAGCAGAATAAATAGCATACCAATACTTCCCATTAGCTGCCATTACTTCAATTACACTCTTAACTTCATCATCATTAATCTCCTTCACAGATTCCATTCCTGTAAACTCAATAAGACCCATATTCAGTAGAAAAAGCAAGAACCCAGAACCCATTTCGTCTAGCACAAAAATCACAGGACAAATTGATGGAACTAACCAAGAGACGGGATGACAATATGGACAGTTTAAAGATGATAAATAAAGCAGCACTCCTAGAATACTTATACCCATCAGGGGCGGATCTAGAGTTCGACATACAGGTTCCCGGAACTCAGTAACTTTTGCTCAGATTCTGTTTAAATACTATGAAGTTCACTAAATATCAATAAATATTTGATCGTGAATCCAATTATTATTATAAATTTATTTAGATTCAACGCAAGAACCCATAAGCTTCAAATCTTTTATTTGCCTCTATACCCATCATTACTTCTTAAACAGAAAATATACAAATAGAGAGAAAAATGACTACCTGGTTGAGGAGAACCCATATGCTAAATGAAACGGGAGGTTAGGAACAAAAATTAAACCCTAATTCCTCTTACCCTTCTCGTTTTTTGGGGAGAGAAATTGCAGAATAATTTTTTTCGTAAAAAAAGGAAAAAATTAAGGAGCGCTGTCGGTTACAGGTTAAAGCAATTCCTGGGTTGGTCTTTTAGACCCAATGGGGGAAGTGCACAAATAACCGTTTTAAGGACCCCCATTTGATAAATAATTGTAACTTATAAAGTTCTTACAGTTTAGCTGCCTTATAACCAACTTCGCCCATATCTGAAGTTGACATGGCAGTTTTTTTTTTTTTTAAGCGGTTTGAAATTCGTAAAAACTGGCTAAACTTTAAGTAGTTTTTTAAAAATTAGATACTTTTTAGATAGGGTGCTCCAACCTGCTACCTAGCGTCATTTCTATTGACCCAATTTGTTGGATTTATATTGTGCCATGTATTTAAATTATTTGTAGTGTTATGACGTATGCTTAGTTTCAGTTTAGTATTTTATATTTGGGTTGACCCGGTTGTACATGGATTGTATATAAATGATATCATTTACCCTTAAAATTGGATAACAATTGAACTTATAATGTAATTTTAAGGACACGTGATTTCACCTAATACCAATTGATAAATATGAAGATTAATAACAGAAATGAACTATAAAGTAAAGCGAACCAGTGTTGAAACGGAATTCAACCCTCGAGCTAGGGTACCCTCGAACTGATTGATACCAAAACAGTTAAAAATAAAGCAAGCTGATGAACAAGAGAGTATAAGCTAAAGTGAAAGCGTTATATTAGCTTTTGTATGCGAGAACAATATATATTACAAATGGTTAATACTCCCCTTATATAATAGAGGAATTCTACTTATGGTATAACTCTAATTACAGAAGAAAATCCCATGATTAGCTAATTAACCGTTCCTAATTTGATCCGTTACGAGATTTTCGCCATGATCTTCGACTAGTCACAGATATTTTGCCTTTCCGTTATTATGTTATCTTCGATCTTGCTCGATGCCTGTCTCATTCGGTCTCGATCGCTGCTGTCCTCGATCTCGACAGGTACCTCGAATCCCGAACTTGGTACCTTGTCCTCGTACCTTGGTCTAATCCACTACGGGGCCGACCTTCGATGCAGCTCCCTGGTCCCGGTCAGATAAAAAAATTGGGCGGGCTCGGTTTTAACCGTATACAAATAGTCCCCTCATTTTTTGGAGTGTAATGGCAAGAAACGAATTGAGCCTTCGATTTTTACCTCGACCTGCCATGACGTCACCGTCGTGACGTAAGCGACAGAAGTGACCGAAACATCCTGTTGGTACAGTTCCCCAAGTCATTAATGAGTGTCAGTTGGTGGTCGGCCTCTAGTGCCTTTGAACCGTCGCCGTGAATCCCATAATAGGCCTCTTTTTACACTCTTTCAAACTTTACCTTCAATCTTTTCTAATCTCCAAAGCTTTTTACATCTTCTAAGTTCTTCATCTGCAAATCTACGATTTTCACCGCTAACCTCTTCTTAGAACACCAAATCTTATCATCTCCATCTATTTTTAACTTCAAATCCAAATAGCGAAAACGTCAAAAACTGTTCCTCAAAAGGAAAACGCTTCTTCATCGCGGCCGGCCGGCGACAAAACACCGGTGGAGCCGCGCCCTGAGGAGTGTGTTCCCGAGGGGTGCATCCTCACTTCTGACTTTAAGACAGACAAAACTTCATCGGTCCCTGGTCGATGCGAGCCAATGTCGAGGTATATATGCTCGATAACTAAGAGCTTCCTTAAGCGGGTGAAGAAAGACTGCAACTCGGAAGGCAAAGAGGTGGTGATACCGGCCCCTGGGAAAGACATCACTACCCACGTGGAAGGGTTCCTGAGTGTTTACACTTACCCTTTCATGCTGGGCCCCCTCGATCCCATTATCANGAAGAAGATATCACCACTTACGTGAAAAGGTTTTTAAGTGTGTATACTTATCCTTTCACGTTAGGTCCCCTCGATCCTGTTATTATTGATTTCTGCTGTCAATAACAAATAACCCTAGGCCAGATACATCCTTCTTTTTGGCGGATCGTTATTTTTATCCGTTACTTCGTGAACAAAATCGAGGGAATGCCTTTCACCCTCGACCATCTCATCCGATTGTACTGCCCCCGCCTCTATCGAGGCGGGTTAATAAAACTTCAGCATCGGGCTACCAAGGTGTTGTTCTCGAGCATAGATGATGATAAGGACCGAGGTTGGATGGGCCGGTTCGTTCGAGTGAGGACTTCCGAATCCCGGCCGAGAAGATGCCATTTTCCGAGAAATGGAATATGAAACGTAAGTACAATCCCACTGTTAGCACCTATTTATTGTTTTGCTCATTTGCTTCTTCTCATCGATATCCTTTTCCGTGATGTAGCGGTCGCTTGGATGCCCGGTGCAATTCCTAACCTCGAGAGCTAGGTTCGGGACCTGGCCTCGACCTCTACGTACGTCGAGCGCTCATGGCGCAATTTATCAAAGGGTTGATGGGAGGCCAAGACTCATGGTAAGCCCACTTTTTGTGTATTTGATGATTCGATTAAGATGCCCTTCTTCTACTTATTCCATTTTCTCGTGTACAGGCCTGGGCAAGGATGCGGTCGTGAGGCCCCTTTCTGGTGAGGAGGAGACTTTGATCCTGGCACTGAAACCGGCGAAGGACAAAAAGAGTAAAAAGACCTCAACCTCTGAGGATCCAGAACCTAAGAAGAAGAAGGCTCGTAAGCCGAAGAAGAAGGCTCGTAAGCCGAAGAAACATCATCTTTCTGACCGAAGACTTTGTTCGGCGTCTAAGGGAGGAAGAGAAGACGAGGAAGAAGACGACTCTGGGCTGGTGGCCTGAGTGAGAATGAGCACCGAGGCCCCAAAGGCCACTGAATCGGTGAAGGTTTTAGAGACTCCATCTCGAGATGAGGGAGTCTCGGGAAGGGACTTGGGCGAAGTCCCCGAGTCATCGATGATTGAAGATGCCTCCCACCATAATGAACCAACAGTGGGTACGGCTGTAGGGGCTGGTCTCGAGGCCCCTCAAGATGGAGAGAACGCCCCAAGTGATCCACTTGGGGCAATATAAATTGGAGGGTCCCCGCTGCTCCCCTCGTTTTCTGAGGAGATGATTCAAGAGGCTCGAGCCTTGAAAACCCCCTCTATCGAAGGAGCCCACGGAAGGGAGGACCCCTTCCATGATTACTTTACTGGGTCGAAGATGCTACCGGCCTGAGCGACTTGGAGGTCTCGAGGAAGGACTCGGGCGAGGCATCGAGCCTTTTCAACAAAGCGCAGCTAGCTCTGAATCGGGTAAGACTTAACTCCATTTGTTGGTATTACCCTTATGTTCATTTTTCTCTTACTGTCTAACTTCTTTTCTTCTTTCTGCGTAGGCCTCAGCGCTTCATCGAGAAGCATTTTCTCGGTCTCGAGCTGAGCTGAGTTGGTACGAGGCCGACATTCAAAGGCTTACCGACGATAGGAATGCCCTCAACCTTCTCGGTGGGCAAAAAGAAGAAAAGATCAAGGACCTCCGAGCCGAGTTGGCCACGGATTACAAAGATCAAACCGACCTGATCGAGCAGGTAATGAGAATCTTAAAAGCTCATGGGCTCGATTCAGAAACGGTGTCTAACATTTCAATCTCACAGCTGCAGCAGAAGGTTGAGAGGATCGAGCAATTCCGCGAGGAAGTCAATATGATGAAGGCGGAGACCTTGGGGTGGAAAGAAAAAGAGGATGCTCGAGCCCAATTGTCGTCGGTCGAAAGTCAGCTTCAAGGCATGAAGGAGAAGAGCTCAGCTCAGGCAAAGAAAATAGAGGAGCTCGAGGCTCGGTTAGCTTCCAAACTTGCAAAGACCAAATCTGAAGCCGAAAAGGCAAATGACGAGGTAGAGGCGATCGTGGCCGTCTACCGGGCCGATGTGAAGCCGCTCAAGTTCAAGCGAAAGAGGCAGCCGAGATCGCTCAAACTCGAGCATATTGGATTGCTGAACTCGCCAAATGCCAATCTCGGAGGGAAACCCTCGAGGAGATCCATGCTTGAGGTTTCGATCTTACCGACGAGATAATAAAGGCTAGAGAGCATGAAGCCGATGCTGGAGCGCTGGCCTCTTCCGATGATGATGATGATTGCAGCAAGAGCGGGTCCGAGAATGGGGAGGACCTCGATTAGTAATCTTGGGATTTTTCTTCTTTGATTTTTTTTGTGCGGGACCCTGATCGGTCCTTGTAATATCTTCGTATATATATAAAAATCTTTTTTCTTTTTGACTTGTCTTTATTCTATTTCCTGCCTCATAAAAATTCTATTTCATTCATGCCTTCATGCCTTATGGAGATTTTGCTCATAAGTTTAGGACTTTAGGCAACTAGACAGAAGTTGGACTAGTGTAGTCTTAATCGAGTGAGTACTTTCTCGAACTCGGAGTAGGGTGACCCTTAGGTTTTAATAGAGTGAGGATGATTTCTCGAACTCAAAAATAAAATAGCCCTTTAGGCTCTTGAATTAGGCTGATACGACCATAGTAAAAAGAATGGCTTTCTCCCCCTTTTCGGCTTGAAAGGTTTATTGATAAATTATATAAAATATGTTGTAACTTAGCATGAAATAAGGGATTTGCTCGAGAGTTCGAACGATTCCGTACCCATTTAGGGTTTTCAAGGGTCAATATTATCGAGACCCTTTGTTTCGTAATGCCTTAGCATAAAATAAAGAATTTGTTCGAGAGTTCGAACGACTTTGTACCCATTAGGGTTTTCGAGGGTCGATATTATCGAGACCCTTAGTAATTCAGCCGAGGGTAGCCTTTTTAACCGGTTTATGAAAATATTCGAAGGCCTGTTTTATAACGGAAATCGGACGTCTCCGAACCATGTTAATTTGGTCGTAGCCTTTAGCTTGGGATTCGCTTTTTGGGCTTGTTCCCCTGTTATACTTCAAACTTGTTCGAAGTATCAGTCCCCGAGTGGGGTGGAAGTGGCCTAAAAAATCGAGGGTTGCCTTTTTAAGGTCTTACGATCTCGGGGTTTTAGTAATTCGATCATGTCAATTTTTTGGATGGCAGTCCCCGAGTGCGGGGTCAATTGTTCGAACTTTAGTTGTGACCGTCCCTTAAGCCAGTTTCCATAATAGATCACAAGCATGACATTGTAAATTAAAAATTTCTCTAAGG